TGGTGTGTGTGTGTGTGTGTGTGTGTGTGTGTGTGTGTGTGTGTGTGGAAAGTTTGACTAGTGGCTGTTTCGCACCACCACAAAGCTGTCAATCACCCTCCTACCTCGTCCTACACTAACACACAGATCGGCTTCATAATCACTTGTCCGCCATTCCACGCCTGTCAATCAATCAGGATGCGAAGGGAGCACAAAGTGGCAGCCACTGGTCTTGGAGGGAGATGAGACATGGGATGAGGCATTGTCAGGAACAGACGTGCCATGAATTCACATGTCCGATCGCCCCCATCCCCCTCTTTTTGGCATCAGGCTTGGCCATTAAAAGGGGACAGCCGAAGCTGGGGCCCTGCCACCTATCTGCGGAGAATACACATTATCCTTAGTCACCCGGCCCACCAGCGAGGCACCGTATGTCAATGAGCCCGGCTTATGCATTGTGAATAATAAATAAGTAATAACATCAGACAAACAGACGACAGGGCCTCCACCTGAATACTAAATGAATGCTCCTATTACCCGCCTGTGTGTGTGTGTGTGTGTGTGTGTGTATTAGTGCGGCTGTACTGACAAACTATGCTGACACCATGTCTGCGCCGCAACAGGATGCGACAAAGCGACCGTTGAAAATAATTTGAACTTTGTGTCAGCACGTCATAAAACGCGGCATCAGTTTACTGCATCCAGTGTAGACAACATCACTGATTATAATGGGTTCTATTACACACCGGATGTGAGCGGCGTGACAAAATACAATAGAAATTCTATTGTATTTTGTCGTGTCGCGCGATGTGATGTGACCGATGTGATAAGCATGAGTTTTAGGCCGCGGCCGGTATAAACACCAGCATTGACTAAGTGGCCGCGATCAGCTCCGGTGGCCGTAACACAGGCTTTAATGCGCCGCAGACGCGTGCCGTGATGCGCAGATCAGCTCTAGTCTCTAACGTCACTGAATCTGCTGTTAAAAATGAACCATGCATTCATCATATCATCATGCAAAACTAAGTATTAGAATCATTGTAATTTGACGATCAAATATAGGTGCGGGTGGGTGGCGGGCGGATAATTTGAAGCAGCGGACTCGGGTGAAGTTTGAGTTCATCCGCACATCTCTACACTACACTGACCTGCGTCGACAGTAGCAAACAATGGAGTGCGCTCTGCTGGAAAAACTTAGTAATTACACCATTCAGAAGCATTTAATCTGCGTTATATGAAAAAAAATTTCATATCGGCGGCATATCGGTGGCATATTCGCCGATACCGATATATCTGCAACAGGCTCATATCGGCCGATAATATCGGCAAAACAATATATCGGTCGGGCTCTAGAAAACACCATTTCAGTGTTTCTACTTTGAAAATGTCATGTTTATTCTATGTTGCT